GCACAAACGGTAGAATTCTCCCAAGCACTGCCGTGGACTGCGATCAGCACGAGACAGGGAGACGATGCTACCTACTGTGCGCTCCCCGGAAATGACACAAACACTCTACCGGGTCCGTTCCCGGGGTGAGCGGAGGAGGGCAGAGCATGCCTCTCCCTACTTACCTATCCAGCAGCCAGACAGACGCCTCACCCCTCAAGCCACTCCTCTGGATTGGGGCGCGGGGAATGCACAGGGCACCTGGGAGAGGAAGGTGACAGATGAGCCCTGGACCGTGCATGTGTGTTCAGCTCTCCTAGGAACACAAAGAACAGGCCCTGAGGGGCCATGCGGGCTCTTGGGGGGAAGGGAAGGAGAAAGGACTTCCCATGGGCTTTGTGCTGAGCTATTTTGGGGGCGGGGGTGGTGCTAGTCCTTTCCCCCAACCCCTGTTCTCACTTTCAATTTGTTCCTGGGGGTGCTGGGTGGAGGGCTCAGCTTCATCAGCGGCCCCCACCCCCTCCCAGGGGTTCCTCTCTCCTTCCCTGATTTATGGGCTCTGGCTGGAGCCACTCAGAATGAAACACTCCAGGGCAGGAGGTGAGCAAGGAGGGCCCTCTTCCTCCTCAGCTTCCTCCACGCCTTGCTAGAGACCAGTCCCAAGGCACTGGCAGGAAGCTACAGGGAGTGCTTTGCGGCTGGGGAGTGTGTCCAAGGACCCAGTCACTGAACCTGAAGCGGAAGTTGGAGCCTGACCTTGAACTGTGTGCTCTGGGATGCAGGCCTGGGATGCAGGCCCTGGGGTACCAGAGGCACGGAGCTCCGTGTGCAGCCCTGTAGTCTCTCCTCACCTGGGACAATGCCCTCCTGTGCCCGGTGTCATCATCCCCCTTACACATGGCAACGCTGAGGCTCCAGGAGGCAAGCAACTGGCCCAGCAGCACACGGCTAACTCTGTCTGAGCCTATAGAGAATGTACCTATTGAGAATGTTCTAGACCAGTGATGGCGAACCTGTGACACGCGTGTCAGAGGTGACATACGCGAACTCATTTTTTTGGTTGCTTTTTCTTTGTTAAATGGCATTTAAATATATAAAATACATATCAAAAATAGAAGTCTTTGTTTTACTATGGTTGCAAAGATCAAAAAATGTCTCTATGTGACACGGCACCAGACTTAAGTTAGGGTTTTTCAAAATGCTGACAGGCCGAGCTCAAAAGGTTCGCCATCACTGGTCTGGACTATAATGATAGCCTGCATTTTATTTAGCACCCCCATGATAAGCACTGTACAGGTATTGCATTTATTCCGCACAGCAGCCCCGACTTAGGTACAATTACACGTGACTTCCCTTTTACATGTGAAGTATCTGAGGCTCAGAGAGGTTAAGGAACTTGCCTGAGGGCGCCCAGCTGGTTTCCGCCAGCGTCTGGATTTGCACCTAGGTCTCGTTTGGCTCAAAGAAGGCTGCAGAGTCCTAAGGTTTTGAGAGGGGCTTGGGGTTTTGACCATAAATATATATTCATACAAACATCCGAATGGCTTTTTAAGTCAGCTTTGCAAATCGTTTTCCAAAGATGACTCCGCTTGGCAAAGAAAAGGCCGTTGCCCTCCAGCTTCCTGGACAACCATCTACACTCACCCACTGGCTCCCCCTCCTGCACCCCCCTCCTGCACCCAGGGGCCTCAGGGAAGGCAGCGGGGACAGGCGGGAGGCAGCCCCTCATAGGCCCCAGGCCCTCTGGTCTCCGAGGGCTGCATTCTCTTCTCTCCCCTCCGGGTCCCTTCAGCCTGAAGCCAGTTCTCCGAGAGGCAGCGAGCAGCTGTGATGTCTTCCCAGCGCCTGGCCAGAGCCCAAGGCCACGGGCGATTTGGAATCACACCTCATTAGGAGACAAACTGTTCCTTCACTTGTCAGGCCCATTGTGTTCACGATGAGCCAGCTCTGAATCGATCCCAGGCTGCAGCCTCCGCCTGCTTTAAGCAACCTGCCCTTGGACAGCTTGAGAGCAAAAAGGGGGGCTTTCCATACTGCCCTGGTGTCTCCACCGTCCCCTCCCCGTTGTCACAGGTGAAGCGACTCGGGCACTAGATGGTGGGGGACGGGCTCCAGGTCCCAGAAACAGCCGCCGTCAGTCAGCCACTCGGGCCCCTGAGCCCCAGGACGGGCCGCTTCCTCGGCTCGGCGCCTCGCTCCTCCCGGCTGGGCCGTGTGCAGGCCAGGCCGCCCCGGGGAGCCGGGAAATCATTATGCCCTTGGAAAAGCCGATGAACAGGAGCAAAATCCAAACCAGCTGTTTTCCTCCTTCGGGCCCAGCCTTTTCTGCACGATCCACCTATCCACCCATCCTCCCACCCATCCATGTACATAACCATCTCTGCGAGTACATGTCCACCCGTTCATCCAGGCCATCACAACCCAGCCAACACCTACTTTTTGCCGGGCCTTGTGGTAGGCACTGGGAATACAGGGTCATCCGAACATACAATCTCTGTCCTCGTCAGCTCATTCATTGGCCAGTGGGAGAGACAGCCAATAATTAAAAACAACAACAACTTTCTCTGAATGGAAAGCAACCTCCGTAAGTGCCACGCACACATTGGAGAGGGGTCTGACCCTGGCCAGAGGCCAAGGACACTTCCTCGGGGAAGAGACGCTTGAGATGTAAAGGAGAGGTCGGCACTGGTGTGGTGGGAGGTCCGAGAGGGGGAGGGGGAAGCAGTGTGGGCGTGGAGGGAGCAGAGTGAACGTGAGGGTCTGGAAGGGGAGGCACCTGCCGCAGAGCCGGTAGACTGATCATAGGTACACAGGACGGAGAGGAGGCAGGGCCGGACCCTGGAACCCTGGGACCCTGGGACCCTGGGACCCTGGGATCCTGGGATCCTGGGACCCTGGGATCCTGGGACCCTGGGACCCTGGGACCCTGGGATCCTGGGACCCTGGGACCCTGGGACCCTGGGACCCTGGGATCCTGGGACCCTGGGACCCTGGGACCCTGGAACCCTGGGATAAAGGAAAAGCCCATACAACAATGATGTGCTCAGATCTGCACATTGAAATGATGCCTCATGCCCGATGCCCGGGCCCTTCTGGTTGGGAGGAGGTGGTGGGGGGTGAGGGGCTCCTGCAGCCTCCACATGTGTGTGATGATGCCTGGACTCTGGGAGCAAAGGTGGCCTTGAGAGAAGTGGACTGACCCACGGAGAGCGATTTTAAAGCTCCCCAGGCTTCCTCCCGGGAGTGGTTAGTGGGAAGCCAGCCCAGGGGCCGTTTCAGCCTTGCAGAGGCCTCGGAGCGTTGCTCTATTGACGGAACTTAATTGTAAATATTATTCAAATGCACCTCCCAACGCACAATTATATTTCTCAGGGGAGCCCTCTGAGCACACACCAAAGCCCTATAAATCACACACAGATTAACCCACCAGGAGCGGAGGCCCATTAATGCTGCAAGTGCGGGTGGGGGCTGCGGGGAGTCTGTGCAGACACCACTCCCAGGGCTTGGACTTGGGGTGTCACCTGGAGGTAACTGAGTTCTGTCCTGGGGGATCTTCCAGAGGTCTCCTCCCCGCCCTCCCCCCAGGAGATGGGGACACCCCGAGG